GTGTRCAGTGCTGAGCTCCTRCTCTCCCATTTTCACACAAAACAATTCCYCTGCAGCCCCAAACTCAAGGACACCTCCCTGKGCCAGRCCCCAAGAGATGGAAACAACAGAGAATTGGGGGRWCCARCTTGGAKTCAATGACTGCATTGGCTGCAGCTGCAATTGGAGGATTCAGCCCCGATGTGCAAATGGRCAAAAGTGAGAAAGGGTGAAAAACCCRTGAGCCATTGTCYRTTGTGGGTGTGGGACTGCCCTGRATGGCYCTGAAGGCCCTGGAATGAACAGAACTGCTTTKGATTCTCTSAATTTTGTCCAGCCTCTGTCTTAGGTAAGCCRGATTTAGGCATCACAACAGCTCCAGAGTTACAGCAGCGAGGAGCAGATGAACACACCACCAYGGACCAAGAAATGCTGTGCACCCCTGTCATGTCAAACCCCCTCAGTCACCCACACGGTGTGCACAGACCCAGTCCTGAGGGAAATGTGGGATAGCCTCTCCTGGGCTGGCAAGAGGAAGCACATGTGTGCAGGGCTCTCTGCTGGATAACTGGACTGCCCTGGGTTGGCTCCTCTGCTTGCCCTTGCCCTGCCACATTTTCTCTCATCAGCACCCTAAGCTGTTGCAATTCTCTGTGCCAGGGAACGGGGATGTTTCTGAGAGCCAAAGAGGAGTTTGTATCTGTCCCAATGACATCCAGCCACCAGCACACCATCTGTAATGTTTGGGATTTGATGGCTGACCTTAAAACTGCACTTTTGTATGAAGGTCTTGCCAACAATTACAGTCCAGCACCAAGAGTTTACACAGAGAACATCCTTGGCAAGGCAGAGCAGCAGCGGAAGCGTTTTAGTTTCTGCCCATGATCAGTTTGAATTCTTTCCTGGAAGTGGGCTCCATTTGATCCACCTGTGGATCCTTGCTGAGTGCTAGGAAAGGTGATGAGATACTGCTCTGCTGGCCTGAAAAAACTGTGCTTTTTGCTAAAGTTAAATTGAAAAGCATTTCCAGACCTCAGCTTGTAATATGCTATTCAATTACACTCTCCACACGCTGCTTAGAGTAATCCTAGTCTGAGTGTGGTCCATGGCGAATATGAGGKAGAAAAGTTTAAACTTTTGCCTGAAAACCCATTTGTTCATTCCTCAGAAACTAAACAAGAGGGTTTTTTATTATATATATTTTTAGGGAATTATTTTGCGGCTGCAGGACCCATCAGCATCCACAAAGTCATTCCTCCTGTGGGCAGCATATGAAAAAAAGAACACACCTCTGTATTTCATTTTGTTTCCATTTGCCACCTCCATTTACAGCTGGGGCACGTGAATGATTTGAATAGTCTCACTGAAATCAGGAGGATGGCTCACAGGCTTAGAGGGAGGCACGAGGCTTTACCAAATCACCCTCCACCACCAGATGCTGGGAGACACAGCGCTGGTAGCTGTTGGCAGCTGACCTGAAGAAGTTAAGCTTAGCAGCAAACAGAGCCCCCAGGCTCTACAGCTCAGCTTCCTTTCCTCTCTTTAGCACAAAATATTTTAAAAGAAACTGAGACCAGCGGCTTTTCCCCAGCCAACAAAAATAAAGATGATTGCACCGCGGCGAAGTGCAGCGTGCCTGCCTAATTCCAGGTTGCTCAGCCAGGGAATAGAGGGATGGATGGATGGATGGATGGATGGATGGATGGATGGATGGATGGATGGATGGATGGATGGATGGATGGATGGGTGGGTGGGTGGATGGATGGATGGATGGATGGATGGATGGATGGATGGATGGATGGATGGATGGATGGATGGATGGATGGATGGACAGGGATGAATGGAT